GATTGAAGGATTACTTCACAAAGGCAATACTTCTAATTTCCTCAATAAGGTATCAGGGACAAAAATACTTTTAATAAAATTTAAATCCTGAATGAAAGATTTCCAGAACGATCCAGGCAGCAAATCAAAAATAAAATGGTACTTGTTAAGAATAATGTAGAATATCTTAACAAGATCACTAGCAATTATACCAATTATAGGTGCTATTACAATCTAGAATTGGGGAAAATTGCCTTGACGGAATAATCAATTTCTTATGGGGTTCTTTTTGCATCTGCGTCTAGCAAATTAGCGTCAAAATATTATATAAATAAATATTCTAAGTAAAAGCTTCTCCGAATATATGTTAATCTGGTATATAAAAATGACAATTCTGAATTCCGAAACAATAATAAAGAAAATATTTGAAAACTATTTAGTTCGTGGAGTGAGTAGAATTCATGTTCCAAACATAAAGAAGCCCTGAAGCTAAATTATGATTCTTGAAGTTAAGAGTAGAGAAGAATATAATTAATCTAAACAGATATATATATCACAAGCAAAATAAAATATTGTACATATGAAAACCAATATGATGTGGCCTTCTGTTTGGTCGCAGTCCAACCAGCATTAAAAAAAATAGTTACTCATATTTCCTTTTGATCCACCCCATTAAAATAAGGCATAATATTATAAGGTCCATTAAAACCAAATCTTTCAGAAATGCTAAAAATGAGCAAAAAGGACTTATGAAATATATCCTACACCTCAGAATGTGTTGTCTATTTAAAATACTTATTATGAGCTTATATGCTACAAAGGGTAACATGCTAGAGAAGATTGAGACAGACTAATAAGAAAGATAAAATTGGTTGAATCAAAATGTAGGAATGGGGCATGATATGCAAACTTTAGTGGCCTTGGTTTTACAATTTAGAAAAAATGTGTTTATAGAAAAAATAAGTACAATAGGCCGTAAAATCTGTAGCACGTATAATTTTTGAGAAAATAGCGCTCAAAAATGTAAGAGAAGGTGAAAGCGTTGTAGCACAGCATATCATTATCTTTAGATAATATTTAAGCTAGGTTTTGCTTATTCTGAGCTGAACGAACTAGCCTAATTTCCAAATTAAAAATAAACTACAATTGTAAACACGTAATTTAAATAATTTAACTGAATAATACGTTTGTTATTTACAGTTTTTAAGCTTTAGCACAGAACATTTAATAATTATTATACTGACCTAAACTATATGGAAACTCGCTGCGTGCTTAAAAATTTGGCCTGTGACCTTGTACATTTTCAATCTGCGAACAAAAGCTCCTTATAAAGCCAAAATTGTTGAAACACTGGATAACTTAGGAGCCTTACTATCTCTTGATGAGCTTAAGGAAGCTCTACAGCTTCTTGATGGGGTGCCAGTTGTTCTAATCGCTACGAATGTTCCTAAAAGTGTTTATTCCGACCCAATTTCAAAGGTATTCTATTTTATAAAATCAACCCCAAGGCTGAATTCGAAAACGTATTTAAATGCTTTGATGCGTCTTCAACATTCATATATCTTCCAAGCTTTTGTCGAGCTCAGGTATACACCTTTCCATCCCTTTGGAATATGAAATTATCTATTTATTTGCATTCTAATGCCTTAATAGTCTTTCGTTTTTGCATTTCCTTAGCTTATTTGAAAATATGTTGATAGTTTAAACCTTTTCATATGCTGTTCGACTTTGCACTTAGCTTCATTTTCGCATTTTTAAACTTCACATAGCTAGGAGATTTAAATAAGTCGGGCATTAGAATAAGATATTAAATTGTATTTATTATAGGATTGCTTTAATTTTACCCTTATCTTTGAATACTCCATTGGAGTTACAGGCCATTGTTAAAATCCAAGGCAATATGATATTTACCTTCGTACTAACCCCTTAAATAGATTATTGATAGTCTTCAATCTTTAATCTGACACTATCCTTTGCTAAGATTTCATTTTCAATTAGAGCTCCTTTTATATTTCGCTATATCTGTGACTACACATGAGGACTAGATTATTATGAGCTTCAACAAATATCAGCAATTTGGGCTTGCTTTTCTATAAGGCATGTCCTAAGACTTAACGATAATGTAAATTTACAATTAAACCACAATGGCTACACACTAAAAAGCAAGGTTGAAGCATAGGTAACCCAGGTAGATGGGTTGTCTGAACTGCTGAAGTAATTTTTAAATTTATGGCGCCCTTTATCCACATTTATTCCACAACCCACTTTAACTCTCCACACACCTTTAATACTATTTCTAATTTAATCCATATTTGTGTCTTACGAATGTTT